CTGACATGAATTTGTATTTGTTGCCTCCATGTCTTTTTTGAGAGAGTCTGTAACATCAGCTGGCATGGCTTGGCACAGATGTCCTAGGAGATGAAGCAGAAGCCTACAGCCAGCTGTGATCACCTTGTGACCAGTCTCTCTGTGGACAGGCTTTATGCTTCAGCTGCACTGAGTGATACGCTCTGGCCTGGCATCACCAGGCTTTTGATGCTGATGTGATTTGCTTGGTAAGGGTAGATGTTTCCTCCCTCTGGAAGCCTGGTGCCATGGGAGCCTCTGAATACAGGCTGAGCTACTGCAGCCGTGAGTCAAATTTGTGATTCTCTGCCTTGATGCTAACATAAACACAACAGTTCCAAAGGTTTCAGTGTCTTCAACCTTTTTGCTGTCCTACACATCCACAGCTTGTAAGTGTAATTAAAAAGGTGCTTGTTTTCCTCTCTATAACATACTTAAACTGCCTGAGTTGGAAATTTGTGCTTGTTGAAGCTGATGCAGACATAGCACTGTTGTGGTGTGGATTCCTCAGCAGCACTCTTTCTGGCTCAGGGTGAGACTCACCAGAGCTGCCCTCAAGGACCTGAGCACATTCAGATCCTGGAGAAACTTCTTCAGAGCTTCAGGGTGCTCCCTGCTGCATCTGTTCCTCTTCCCTTTCATTGCAGAGACACTTGCCTTCTGTCAGACCCATGAACAGTACAAGAGAGTCACTTCCGTGCATTAGAGATAACACCATCATCTATTAAGTTTGGAATACTGACCCAGCAAATAGGAGAGAAGATACTATTGTGACACATTAATGCCCCTGGGCGACAAAAGGAGTCATCCTAATGTAGCCAAACACAGACTGGCAACCAGAACTTTCTCTGGTATCAGAACCCTTAACTCACAACTAACTTCTGAAATAGAAGGGCTAGGAAAGAAACAGGAGACTGACAACTCACTCTGGAGTATCCCAGTTTCTCCTCACAGCCTTTGTTATTACTTGTCATGCTTGGAAAAGAGGGGAGAGGGAGAATGTTCTGTTTAAGTTGAAGGTCAGAGCAGAGAATCGGCACCAGTTCTTGCAACTCAGTAACTCCTGAGTGTGCACTGCTTGCCTTGATGAGATGCTAAGCAAAGGAGTTGTCCTTGGGCAGCAGAGAAGGAGCAGAGTAAAAGGGGAGGCTTTGTCTGTCTTTTCTAGAAGCATGAAATCCTGTGAGCAGAAAATTCAGTCAAGATGGGAACTCTTGGGATCTCTGCTGTGTATTTCTTTAGGTTCTCCTGTCAGCTGTTGTGGGGTTTTGACTACAAAAAAATAACATTACTGAATCATTTTGCCTGTTAAAAAGCAAATTGCTCCTTTTAAGCAACAAAAGATTGTGACTTTATTTTTTTTTTTTAGACTGGCAGTAATCTTGGCTTGTCTTCAGCACTAATAATTATATTCCATTTGCTTGAATTTTCTTGGCAGATTTAATTAGATCAATGGATTGTGTTCCTTCTCCCATTTTAAATATTTAGAGTTGTGACTACATCCTCTGACTGGGAGAAATAATCGCTACAAAGAGGTCTGTGTTTAAGTACTTCTTAGTCATTTTATCACATCAGAAGACGTGTCAGTTATCCCAGATAAAGCATGGATAATGCTAACAGAAGATGGCATGGTGATGTAGGTGAATGTGCACAGCACGTAGCTCTGTGCCAGAGTTGTCCTTTTGAAAGTTGTTTTTGAAATGTAGGTCCCAGGCTGGCAGCTGACACACGTGGACTGATCGATGATGATTGCAGGGAAGCCTCTGTGCCTTACGAAGTGCAGAACAGCCAATGTCTTTGCTTCTCCGGGTTAAATCCTGCCTGCTTTGTATTTCTAGTTCAAACAAAACTTGAAGGCAAGTTTTGCCCTGGCTGCTATGTTAGAAAAAACGATAAGGTGAACCTGGTTGGAATGCTAACTTCCAATGCTGGTTCAAGTCTGACATGCATAGAATAGTAGAATCATAGAATGGCTTGGGTTGGAAGGGACCTCAAGAATCATGAAGCTCCACACCCCCTGCTGCAGGCAGGGCCATCAGCCTCCATGTCAGATACTAGACCAGGCTGTCCAGGGCTCCATCCAGCCTGACCTTGAACACCTTCAGGGACAGGGCAGCCCATCTAAGCTTCCATCACAAAAGCAGGTTAGGATTGATGAGTTGTTAACTCCTGAGAGGACTGTTCATCTTCAGCCTTCCTTCCAGTTTGCCATAGAACTGTATTGTACTCATCAGGTAAGTGGGTTTGTAAGACTACCCACAGGCTGATAGTTTCAGCAATGTTCTTTCATACTATTCTCTTCAGTGTTTTTGGGGATGCAAAATTTATTTTACCTAGGACTGTCTGCTGCATCTGCTGACCAGCCATTTTGTGCTAGATGACTTAAAACTGGTGTGCATTCATAGTAAATGTGTATACATATGGGATAGATAGATAGCATTTAGTCATAAAAACCATGACAGTTTTGTGTTTTTGTGCTCAGAAATTTCCAGTATAAAGACTTTCTTGCCAAGTTTAATGACAGCAGTACTGCTGTCCTGCACTATTACAAATTTTAGTCTTTGGTGTTGGACACAGAAGATCATTTCTTCTGAAATGAGTCAGCAAAGAAACAATTGCAGTCATTTCCTAGAGCTGGCGTGAGCTGCAGGTGCTCAGTGTGGATCTTAGAGTGCTGCAGCACCCTGAGGATCTCAGGCAAAAGTGCTCAGCCTGGCAGATATGGCAGAAGAGCTGTGAGGAGTCCCATACCCTTTCGGAGCAAAACTCAGGGGGTCAGCAGGATCTGTCCAAATCTATCATTGTTTCCTTCAGTGTGATTTGCTGCTTCATAGGCTTTTACTGCATCATCACAGGAAGGGTGGCTCAGTGCTGCCCACTGTACAGACTTGGTTTTCAAGATGACAAAGTCCCTATTTAGTATTTAACTGTCTAAATCAAGTAGTTCATTTTCCAAAGGTCTGAGCACGGAGGAGTTTCTTTGTAGTGCTCTTGAACTTCTGGGGAATTAAATAATGTAGCACCACAGCTAAAGATAGATTTTTAAAAGCCTGCTACTGACTTCATCTTTCTGAAAATCAGCAGTGAAGAACTGTGTTTGTGTGGGTGTGTATACACATCAGCTGGACACAATGTTTTCCTTTTGTGCCTTATTTATTAGGCTGTAAAACTGGCCATAACTTGGCATCACTGTATTAATTTCTATCCCACAGACTGAAAACACTGTAGATTGCATGAAGCTAATCTAATGCTAGAATGCAGAATCTGTAATTGTAAATTGACCACTTGGAAGTAAACGGGAAGGAGAAAGAAAGAAAAAGCAAAATGTATCTGCAACAAGAGACTGAGTACTTACACAGAGTTTAAGTATGGGGCATACAAGTTCTTTGTCCTTTAATTATTCCGGACTATAGACACAGATTGGGCTTTCTGGCAAATGCTATGTGAGGCCTAAGGATTACAGGGAAGAACAGTTTGAACACATTAGGACAATGTTGTAGTAATTGCTGTATGTTGCATCCTGAGTCACAGACTGAATGTTTGCTTAGACTCAAAGGAAAAGAGAAAACATGTATCGTGTGTGGGACTGCATCTGTAATCTAAGTGATGGATTTTCTTTTCAGAATAATCAATGCATTCCAGCTGGGTTGGAAAACTACTACTCTGAACAAGACTCCAATGCTCGAGGGAAATTTTACACAGTCATAAACCACTACAATCTGGCCAAGCAAACCATCACGCGCTCAGTGTCCCCGTGGATGACAGTACTGTCAGAAGAGAAACTGTCTGAGCAGGAGACTGAAGCCGCTGAGAAATCAGCTTAGTGTGATAAGCTAATTATTAACACTATGTCATTTGAAGGTAACTAAGGGACTTTAAGAAACTTTCCATTAAATATAATTATGGATAATTTAGAGGTTACTCATGTTTATGGTGCAATTGCTTCTGTTTGCTGATACTGCTTTGCAAAAACAAAAAAACATGCTGCAGAACATTCATGGGCATAAAACAAGATGCGTATCAGCATTGCTTTAGAGCTTTGACACCGTTTTCAATGTTTAAAAAAAAAAACAAAACAGATATGTTCTTGCAGTTTATTGGATACTGACAGATTTCTTCTCTGGATTTTCAGGGTTGAGACCTTAAAATGTGTTCTGTTGTCTGAACTGATATTTTATTAATTTTTTATTGTTAGTCATTTTGCAAACCGAAACACCACAGCCATAACTAGAGTGATCTCTTGTTTAGCTGAGAGCTGTGTTTAGTGTTTAGTTTTGGCTCAAGCAAAAATGATAATCAGCACTGATGTCAAGGGCATAATGTAATGACTTATATGGAAAAAGGAAAAAAAAAAGTGTCAGGTAGCATTTTCTTACATTTTCTTTTCTGTTATTTATTTGTAAGTGATAATGAAGTTCCCTGCGAGAAGGCATGCTCAATGTTTTATTATTGCTGTCAACAGGATTTAACTGCATTTCCACTGTGGCTTTAGCATCTTGGTAAGGATGTGCACTGAAACACAAACTAGATAGACACTATGGAAAAACACAGACAATTCTAGTGATGGATGTTGAGGATAGCATAAGAATATATGGTTAAGGATGTTGAAAGAGAAGTGACATCTTTTGATCGTACTTAAAAGGCAGAAAGCCTATTCACAGTAGATGTAGCCCGCTATGTAACTTGTTGGATACAGCAGAGGGAGTGATGTATCTGAATTTTCTCTTTTGTTACATTGACATTTACCCCTTTTATAAATTAGAGCTTTCAGTTCATGTATGGTTTGCGGTTTGATACTTTTTAAACACAAAGCATCAAAACAGTAGCATCTTAGTAACACTAGTGGCTGTTGGAAAGCTCCATGTGAAACTGAGTGAAGAGTAGAACTGTTTATGTATGGCTTGGGATGGACAAAGATGTAGAAGAACATAGTATTGTGGATGCACGTTCAAGTTCCATTGTAATTACAAACTTAACTATTCTTTGTGTGAAACCATGTTTTCATTTTTATTATAAACCTTAAATGCATTACAAAAGAAGGCATCATTAATTTAACAGACAAGGATGTGAAGTACGTGGGTAAGCAGATACCCTTTCTTTTTCATTTTATTAAATGCAACAGCTTCTAGTGGACATGTCAAGAAGTTCCCTTGATAGAGACTACACAAAAATGAAGGAAAAACATCAGGATGCAGAGTAGAACATCGTCAGCTCTGCTTTTATTTTTCTTCAGTAGAATCACATTATCAACAGCCTTTCTTTCAGCAGTACAGTAAAAAGAACCATTATTACCTAATTTGATATGATGTATGAATTACACAGTAGTACTCATAAAGGGATTTTTAAGTAATTGTAGGTGGAATGCTTAAAAGCATTAAGTTATGTGCCAAATGTTACTTTGCATTTAAAAACTACAGACTTATGTTCAGATTTTCAAAATTACCCCAGTTGCATTTTCCAGTAGGCTTATACTTTATTGAATGTAACTTTTGACATTTTCACTCTGTAAAGCATGATTTGCTCATTGCGTATGCCTGTAAGTTGGATATGCATGTCAGAAGAGAGTTAACAAACAGTTGTTGATCACTGCAGTTACAGAAGCCATTCAGATGTTACAAGAGGGAAAGTTTTCTTCCCCAGGACTGTCCTACATAGAAATGATCCACAGTACATCCTCCTCCTTTTAAATTTAGCACACTAAGAACAGCTTTAATGCATAAGTACTGATAAGAAACCTTACTTCTCTCATGACAACAAACATCACAAAACATGGAGCTGTACAATCTAAGAGACAGTGACTGCTCTGCATTCAAGAGCCAAAGGAGTTTTTCCTCTGATTTAACAGGATGAAGTTTACTGATTCTTATCTACAGTTGGTTTGGGGACTTTCTTTAGTTAACAAATTGCTCCCAAGTTCAGTACTTCGAAGGGTTTGGCTTTAATATTGTCTATCCTTTGGCTTTGTTCCAGCACTCAGACCATCTGTTTTCAGCAGTCTGGTTGGCTGCATTGCTTTTTCTCTTCGCACCCCACAGTAAAGCTCTGTAGCTGATTTTTAAAATTATTATTAAATCAACATGACAAAACAGTTTCCAAGGATTAGAAGCAGAGGTCATAATACATCTGCAAAATGATCACTGTGTACTCAAGTAGTATGATTAAATAAAAGCCTGAGACAGTGTAGATGCTTTTGCACACAGCAACAATTCTCTCGATCTGTTCTGTGCACTGGGAGCTGGATTTAAAGCATCAGAGATGTGGGTTGACTCTGACAATGGTAGAATTTTTTTCTTTTCTTTTTTTTTTTTTTTTAATTTTCCCTTTAGCTGTGCTCCAGCTTGCAGCTTTCTTAGGAGTTCTTTCAGAGGTTTAAGTGTGCAGGATTAAGTGTGGTTTCAGATCTGATAAAGGGATTTAAAATGAATGCTACCCTCTCTCTGCCTTAAGGGACATATGGTTGTGCTTAGCTGTTAGAAAATATTTCCATCATAGCAGTATGAAAAAAATGCATAAAATATACAGGTATATCCTATACTCCATTCAACAGAAGAAAAAAAGAGCCATGAGATTTTACCAAGCATGTAGACAACATGGTATTTTTAATTAATTATCATACCAGTCCAGGAAAAGCAAAGAGAATGAACACATCACCAGGAAAAAAAGGATCCATACTCTAAATCCAGCGTTGTTTTTGATTGCCTGTGAGAAAAAGGTTATCTTGGTTACCATCACTGGTAAAGGTACAGTACATATTTCCACAAAGGCAGCCCAAGATGACTGTCAGTGGTTTCAGTGTGTACTGCAAGAACAAAGCTTGCCATTGATTTCAGGTGGGTAACATTCAGGTTGGTTATACTTCTCTAAGTTTATCACACTGTTTCTCTCTGAGTCTTAAAGATGGTGATTCAAAAAGAAAAAAACAACAACATTCAGATTGCACACAATAGAAATACAGCCAAAACAAAGAACTAAATCAAAATGTACACACTTAGAGGTTAATTTTAAGTTCTGAAAGTGAAATTCTCTAATGAATTCTTCAATTGAAAAAACAAACAAATGCCTAACACGAAAGTCTGAGAGCAGCTGTTTGTAAAGGCTGGGTTTTGGTCTCAGAACAAGCAGGGCGAAGATCAACTAAACAAGATAGAGCAAATTTTTCCTAGAGTTTTCCTTCCAAAAATTTAGGCTGGCAGATCATAGGGACCTGTTTTCTGTTTTCTGATTTTTGCACAGTACAGAATTTTTCATGTGGACAAAACAGTAATAGAAGTGTTTTGTATATGACCTTTCTCTACTGTTTCTCAGTGTAGTTTGAGAAACTTATTTTTGTAGGCAGAACCAAGTCGATGCTATGCTGTAAATACCAATCTTTGACCATAAACACTGGGACAATCCATTGCCATCTCTGTACCCTTCAAGTGCCCTACCTGAAGTCAGGTATTTAATCACAATTTAATGGCACAGTAACTGTATGCTAAACATTAGTATATCTATTGATTTTAGTTTTGAAAAAGAAAATAAAAACACCACCACAACTAAAAAATCCCTCCCATCTTCCCCACCATGTGCCATACCACCACACCTTGTGGACAGCCACTGAAAAGGATACTAGAAGAAGTGGAAGAAACTGCTTGAAGAAGCTAAGAAATGTGGAAACAAGTTCCCGAGACAGAAGTTTTAAGTAGCTAAGTCATGCTTGCCAATATCTTTTTGATGCATGCTTCTGACCAGCTGAGTAGTAGGTAATGCATTCTTTAACTACATATTCTGTGTACTTTCATGAGAGGGAAAATAAAGAAAAGGGACAGGAAACTGAGCTATTTACTCCAGAGCCCAATTTAGGAACTGTTGTTACTGAAGTCCCAGTTCCTGAATAAATCATCATCTCATTCTCATCAGTAGGACAATGGGACAGAGTTGTTTACTGGGCACATGCGAGATGTGGTCAGCATGGTAAGGAGACTTCTGATAAAGCTTAACATTGAACTCCAGTTTCAACAGTCCCAGTACTGTCTTTTAGGCCCAAAAAACGTGTGTTTTTTTTTTTTTTTTTAAGCTAAAGAAACTGGAAAACAAAACCAACAAAAGGACACAAACTTCAGAGGTGCCTGAATGCACGCAGGGAGATGTTTGTTTCAAAACAGGGTAACACGAAGTGGATTTCAGCTGTCCCATACAGTTACTCAGTCATGGTTAGCAAGGCAAGCAGCACAAACTAAGTCAGCTACGTTTCTTCACAGCTTTTCAAAAAATCCCATCCCAGTACCACAATACACACTAAACGTGCTGTGTGCACAGCTTGTTGGAGTAACACTTGGGCAAAACTGAACTGTAGGAGAAAGAAGTCAATTTTAGAAACATTGTTTAGAGACATCACCTCTCTTATGTCTTCATTGCCTTCCTTGATATTCTCTGTTGCGCCCACAACTAATTGATGGATATTGTCAATATCAGTTTCCTGTTAAGAATAATAAAAATAAGAAACACTGACAAAGCTTAGAAAGAAAAAAACCAAAAACACCAGTAAGGGTCTGGAAAGAACTCAAAAATAAAATAAAATCTGATCTTATTAACATTGCAGCTTCATTTATACTGCCTTCAGCGAAGCAAAGGCACAGAAGTAATTAAGCTGTAATTTTTTAATCATCTGTGTCTTTATGAGTCTGAGCTGAGGCCACCAAGATCAATAGAAAGTCCCCTGCTTACCTACAATCAAATCTAAGCTGTCTCATTTTTGACAGTTCCTCTGGAACTGACAGAAATCTGCTGTTACATAACACACCCGACAGAACACTAATTTTCAGAGAGATCAGTCCAAGACTTTGCATTTTCCATTTCCAGTATGCACCAGCATGTAACAGTAGTGGTTACCATTCTGGATTTTGGTTTAAAAAGAAAACCCTAAAAAAACCTTTCCCTTCACAGTTATGTCAAAAAATCATTAATCTTGTGTTTAAATCTTGCATAGAACCAAGAGCAAAATACACCCAGGAAAACCTTAAAGCAGTATTTGCTACAGTAACATCAAGTTTTACTAACCTGTTGCAAGACTTTCTCAGTGAATATCTCTTGCAATCTGGAAATTTCTACCACTTTTCCTTCAATTTGCCTTGGCAAAGAAAAGAAATACTCCGTTAGAAGCTCACACGAGAATTTCTCCCTGCCTCAGGTTTAGATTCTCCATCCGATAAGCACCTCCCCTAGCACTGGATCTGCAACAGACAGCTCACTCTTTTACAACTTAGCTGAGAGAGAATGTAAACCTTCCACATTTAACCAGCACTATTTTGAGTAACTTTAATGTATATTTGGAACCTGTCTTCACACTGTGAGAGAACAGGACATGTAAATCCATACAGGTAGGTAAGCCCCTGCAGCACAGTGTCCCACAGCAGTCACAGTGCATGGATGTTATCCTGGTTACAGTAGTTATCTGTCCAAGGAACAGAAAACCATACCTGACTTCATCAAACAGGTTATTCATTTCACCAACCAGCCTCTGGTTCTCCTGTTCAAACTGGAAGAAAGGAAGCAGTCAGTCTCAGAGTTCACACGCCTGGACTCAATGAACTTTCTCCAGCCCCATCCCCACCCACCCACCCTTCCCCTTTCTTCACAAAGCTCTTCCAGAATTACCACCATCAGCCTAAGTGACCAATATATGCCTGCACATCCGTCATCAAGCACTGTAATGCTTCTTACTGTTATGAGCCAGACCCAAAATTAACCTGCAGTTGGCACAAGAGTTCTGCACTGAGGAAAATGTACTGCCTTAAACTTGTCTTTTTTATTTTAGTCGTTTGAGTAGGGAAAGCTTTCATAGCATGTGGTGCTCTGTCTTTACACCATCATTCACCTCACTCACGTACTACTCATGGCATGAAATTACAGCTTTTAGATTTCACTACACTATGAAGCATTTTGCCATCTGATACTTCATACTTTACAAATGCTTTGCCCTCACTTCAGTTATCCCAGCCAATCTCTCTCATTTAAAACTCCCAAGTAATAAATGAAACATTTAAATACACTCTCATGCTTGTATTTGAAAAATGCCACGCTAAGTAGACTTTATGCAGGAAAACAAGCTTTGATTTTCCTGATGTACTTCACTGTCAGATCAATTGGGATTCATTATGGAACAAGTACAATGACACAATCTGCTGCAACAAAATACACACTGTTAGAATACAGCTGAGACACTTAATGTGACATAGTGGAGTTAGTCGGAAACAGCATTGTAAGGACAGTGCTTTTAAGACAGGGCACTGTGAGGTGGAGTTCTCCAGGTGCCTACATGAATTTGGTCCTGCAGCCCTTCCAGCAGAGCTGTTCAAGCCACAGAGGAGCTGTGCTGCTGCCTCTTATGCAGGCACAGGATACAGCAATACGCCTTCAGAGCTTCCTGCAGCCTGCTCCTGCCACAGGTTCCTGCCATCAGGAACAGCAGGATGCTTCCTGTGGAAGAGGTCACCTGCCCAGTTTGGGAGGGGGGGTGGGGGTGAATCGAGGTGTTCTGCCAATTCATTCTACATGGCCAGAGCCTCAGGAACAGCGAGGACTCCCAGGTCTTTGTACATTTCTCACAAACTAAGACAGACCAGTCTCTCTGGTTATACAGAAGCAAGATGCAGGACAGACCTCACCTGAAATTCTTGCCTAGTATGCACTCTAAGAAGCTTCACTTCCACATCCTGAGTGGAACACAGCAGCCCCAATACCAGAAAACAGGATTAAAATCCCAAAGAATTTGACACTGGATCTATGTAAGACAGCAAGCCCAATTCTACTGCTATTAATCTACTTAGTTTGAACTAGCTTTGGGATTTTGGTGTAATTCAATCAAGTTCCAATTTCATTAACAGAATCAGCATAGCAAGGTGGCTGAGAAGAGGATACCCTGGTCTGGATGTCCTTTCTGGGACACAGCAGTGTGTTGTCAGCAATGCAGCCCTGCTCACAAGTCAGACTGGGTCTGCAGTGTGTGCAGTAGGTCCTGCTCAACGTTAGAGCTAATGCCCAACACTTCAGCTTGCAAGAGAACCAGATGATGCTGCTGAACTGCTGAATTAGTAAAATGACGCCCACCACAGCAGCTGCCTGGCACAACTGAACCAAGGCAGTGTGGATACTGGGAGCTAAGCTGCAGTGTCTGCCTACAGAGCATTTGTTAAACCATAATCAACCAATACACAGCACATGGTTAGAAGTTTTCTGTCACTGAACTCCTTTATGTTCACTCTGATGTGTCTCAGATTTTAAGGGAGCCACCTCAGAACAAAGCAGTGAACAAATCCATGCAGGTTAGCACTGAGTCGACTGCATGGACATGGAGGGATGGAGCAGAGCCAATAAGCTGTAATTGTTTTCCTGATTTCTGTAAGAAATAAGTATTTCTGCACACATATTCAGCATCAAAATATCCCCAAAATATCCCTGAGCAAAACTGAGATAATAACTAATTCAGAAGGTGAATGTTAAAGAAAGAATGAATGCTTTTAACCCCTTACAAACAGCACAGATCCAATTAAGAAAGTTCTATTAAAAACAAAACAAAACAAAAAAAGCAAACAACCTTTGATAAAATCTTCCACTGGCATGAACTGCTTTTTAAACTGCCCAATAGTCTTTGCTATTTGAAATCGTGGCAGACAAACCAAATGGCTCAGTAGCAGGATCTGGTAAAACGGGCAAGCGAATAAAAGAGCACAGAACACACCACCAGCCACCAGTGTGTCCCCAGAGGGGTTAAATGATGGAGACATACAACCAACTCCAGCAATCACAGCTCTCTGTGACATACAGCTTACTAAAGTAGCCTCCTTGATAACAGTGAAATACTGTTACCAAAGCATGGCAGGAAGTGACCAACGGCTTCAGATATTCCCTGAAACCTAATGTCTGGCAGGAATAATTACAGGTCTTTTGTCATCCCTTGAAATAAATCATTCAGTGTGCTATACCTGAACTTAGGACAAAAGCCAAGATAAGAAATCAGAGAAAATTATATAATTTCGCTCGAACAGCAGAAACAGATTTTTTTCCACTCTTCACAGCCATGAGACACCTGCTCATAACCACTATGAGAACATTCAGGTGCTCAGTTATAAACTGAAACTTACTGTGCAAATCATACAACAGCTTGCCACTGCTTTGAGTGATGTAGAGACGTCTGCTCAGGTTAAAATAATGACATAAACTCCTGCTGTAATCATCCAAATGGGCTTTATTTTGTTCTTTTACCTGCAGGAAAGCCCATGGAGCCACAACTGGGATTTTATTTTTTTTTAAGGTATAATTTGACACAACGTGTTCCAATTTGAAACCACACAGCAGGTTTTACACCATAACCTGCCCTCTCCTGAGGACTGCTTTTTAGTAACTTGAATTGGTCCACTCTTCACAAATCAAACATTAGGAAGTAGAAATCACAAATTCCTGAAGCTGGGATGGTTCATTAAGTGTTTGTAAAGACTTCTAACTCCTGCACTGAAAGCCCAATTTATCAGTAAGCATTTCATATTACTTTGAAGCACCTGAATTATTTCTAAGTTACACCAGTATTTATATCTTGGATCTAAACTATCATGAAAATTAGAATATGGCTTCAGTGACATTGAAGTCCATTACACAGTACCCAACTTCTAGTAATTAAGTCCAACTCCCAGCTATAACTTCCCTTGGAAAGGCACTGAAGGCAGTGTTGCTGTGGAGCTGTCACAGCACACATCCATAGCCTCTATCAGTAACAGTGTTCTTTAACCCTACAAAATTTTAAAAATAATTAAAAGAAAAAAATATATATATCAGCAAACACTGGAGGTCCATGGAACAGATCAATGGCTTGCACTCAGCTCTCAGCATCAACACATGAGTAGCAAAGTTTACCCTGGAAAACCTACTGTGCAAACATATGTTAGATAAAACTTTCAATTTCCAGCTCAACAATCCCAGTGTATGCAGTGCAATGCAATCCAACCATAAAGAATGACCTGACAAGAAACTACCTTTGCTGGGGTCATTTGCTATAAGCAGAAACAAGCAGCTCACTTCCTACATGGCAACTAACTGGTGAGGAAAAAGCAAATGTGTCCATTAACACTACCGTGAACCCAGACTCCTTTTTTATATCATAATAAACATACTTCCTTCAAAGATATGATATGGAAGTATGTTGGTAATGCTTGTAATTTTTAGCAGAGGTAGAAAGCAAGCCTGTATTGCTTCAAAGAGTGCTAGAAAAATCACAGAAACTACAATTTTTTTTAGAATATATAATAATAATAATAAAAGCATGAGAGAGGTCTAAAAGGACAAGAATAATAATGGATACTTTGTCTCATGGCTCTCCCCCAGGAGCAGCCAGACAAATGCCTCACAATAAGCATCTCAGGACTGGAGATTCAGGAGTCTGGAAATCCTTCAGAGTATTAAACTACCAATATGTTTTTTGTCTTACTTCAGATTCGGATCATTCTACTACACATGTCAATAAAGACAACTTATTCCAGAGGAAAAATAAATCTTAGATGGGCAAAAAAATCAGCATTTGAAGATGCTTAATTTTTCTTCATGAGATAACAGAAGAAACTCACAGGCTCAGGAAACTCTCGTAAGTCGTGAAGTATCTGAGGCTTTACTCTAAAAAGTATAAATGGATTCCATAAAAAAGAAATGCATTCATTCCTGAAGAACCACGGCAAGAGATGTAACACATTTAAAACTTACTACAGAGAAGCCTAAAAAAAGCAATCCAGCACACTCAGTAGTCAGTTTTTAGTTATGCCCTTTCAGAGCTGGTGCTTCTGATGCTTTTCCTCCTGATCCCTTGGAGGCTAATAACACTGTGCACAAGCACAGAACAACAGCTATATCCAACGAATCCTGCTCAGAAAGAAAACAGAAAGCAGGACTAAACCTTCTGATTTCAAACATGTTCTCAAATACAATGTGATAGCATCAAAAGCAACCTGCTCTCTTTGATAAACCATAATTTCATGCGACTTACTCATCCGTGATGGGAAGTGATGCACAATTCTGCTTGGCAACATCCCAGTCACTGCCAAGGGAGCTTCAGGTTTTCATACTGCAGCAACCCTGCACTGCAGCTCACCATTTTGAAAACTGTTCACCCACAGGCTATTTATAAAGAAGCTTTGCTTCTGTATAGAAACAATGCAATGCATGCATTACAATTACAGGAATGTCAAAAAGTAAGACAGGCTGCCAGCAATCACTTGTATGTTGGATGTTGTAGCCTATCAGTCACAAACAGAAATGGATTAAACCCATGCATAAAACAGCTGATAATGAGAGATATGCAGAAAAGGCAAAGTCAATGAGATTCTGTTGCGATGGAAGGCTTATAGCTATTCTTTCTAATAAAGTCACTCTGATAAACCTAACAAAGAGGAATAAAAAATAACTATTTGTCTTCCAGAAGTAGCCTAAGTAAAAAGATCTACTCACAAAACCTTTACTGCTCATTCCTGATGTTGCTTTGACTTCTACTGTTTCCTAAGAAAGCAAATAAAACTTCTAATTTCTAAAACATTTTTTATTTCAAAGGACACTTCTAATTGGATCTGTGAGCTGATCACCTCCATGTATTTCGCTCTGGTGATGCCTCACCTTGAGTTTATATTCATTTTTGGGCTCCTCACTACAAGAAAGACATCGAGGTCCTGGAGAATGGTCAAAGAAGGGCAACAAAGCTGTGAGGAGGAGTCTGGAGCACAAATCTTATGAGAAGAGGCTGAGGCAGCTGGGATTGTTCAGTCTGGAGAAGAGGAGGTGCAAGGGAGACCTTATCATTTTCTATAATCACCTGAAGGGAGGTTATGCTGAGGAAGGGGTTAGCCTCTTCTCCCACATAACTAGCAATAGTACCAGAGGGAATGGCTTCACAATGCACCAGAGGAGGTTCAGGTTGGCTATTAGGAAAAATCTTCCTCTCCAAAAGAGTGGTCAGGTGCTGGAACAGGCTGCCCAGGGAGGTGGTGGAGTCACCATCCCTAGAGGTGTTCAAGAAACATGGAGATGTGGTACTAAGGGACGTGGTTAGTGGGAAAATATTGGAAGCAGGTGGACAGTTGGACTGGATGACCTTGGATGTTTTCCAATCTTGGTGATCCTATGATTCCATGAAAATAGCATGGTGTCATGAAAATATTTCATAGCAATTTTAAGTCTTAATGGCTACTAGAAGAACCAGGAATCTGTGTACAAGACGTATATTGTGTCATGGCTCTGCATCACATGAAAGCTGTAAACGAACTTGCATAACTCTGAACTTTCTTAGCACACATGAACACAGCAGGAAGCACAACAAAATGGACAATGAGACTAAATGCATACTTGCCATTTGTATTTCTTCAGGTGACAGCTCATCTTCACCTTTACCATCCCCCCATAGCCCAAGGTTAGACTGAGCGTCGGGCAGATTCCTGTCTGTAACAGAACAACCACAGTTTGAGACAATGCAGGACAGCGAGCAGTGAAGCAATAGGCATTTTTCATTATTTCTGAGCTCTGATAAAACCATCAGATAGCATTTCTCATTATCTGAAATTGAGCATACAGTTATAGCACAAAATTACACCAATGGCCTCTAACTTTTAAACTAGGGCAGAGGTGCACACATACATGAGAATTTCTGGACTATGAGGAGTTGGAATAAAATACTGACGCTAAGAGATGTAAAACAACTCACAATGGACTGAGACTTAATAGGGCAGAATATACCATAGCATCTGAATGCAGAACAAAACCAGGGAGTCCCTGCCCACAGCAGGGAATTGGAACTGGATGATCTTCAAGGTCTCCTCCAACCTAAGCCATTCTATGATTGTAAAACAGTTTTCAAAATGACAGCCTATGTGCAGAGCTACTATATTCCAGTAAGATTTGATAGAACCACCAGCTCCTCATTCTTCAAATATAAAAACAGAATCTCAAAGACATTTTGAGCTTAGTTGACGAGAGAAATCTGGCTTCCACATACTGTTAAGACTGCATTTCACAGGGCAAATCCCACAGCACTCTGGGCAAGGGGCCTTCCTCCATGTAACAGAATCAGTTCTGAACCCACAAAATAACCCCTACACATCAGAGCTGCTCCACTGATTTCACCAGCACTTTCCCTTTGATTAAAGCTAATCATCTGCATAAATCTTAGCAGGAGTTGGGCATAAAACATCTTCAATGGCTATTTCTAGGATATTCCCTTCTAGAAGATTTATTTTTAGGCTTAATTATATACCTCTAATTATAGACAAGGAAGTTAGAATGGGAACAAAAAGGAACTTTACAGCAGGAACCTACTGCTTCTGAAGCTGCTCTAACATTGGTTTAAACTGACAGTAATATTGCAACCTTGAGAAGGCCTCCTTCCCCTCAGAGGCATTTTTACAAACCCAAAAAACAGAGATTTGTACCAAACGCAAATGAATTCAAATTTGAACTTGCTTTAACTTATCAGTTGTAAATTGCAAATTAAAATACAGTCAGGTTTAGTTTTCACTTCTTTATAGCTTTCAGGCTTTCTATTTATTCTACTTGTTCTCCTGCTTTTGGGGGGGGAGGGGGTCATTGGTTTTCCTGGGTTTTGTTTGTTTTTAAAGCATTTACAAGTCCTGTCATTCGTTTTGCTATGGGTTTTTAAACGTATAATACTTCTTTTTCTATTGCATAAGCAGTACTGATTATCATTCAGATCACTAGCTCTCTCGAGAAGCAGTCCTATTTATGTAAAATATGTTGAAAGTATTATAAGAAGAAATTTTCCCCTTTAATCCTTCATCAGAATATTTGCAAAAACTTTTGAAAAATACATTTTGTAAGAGAGCATTGCTGGACATTCTGATTCCCGAAAACCAAACCAGGATGGTTTGGTACAGTAAGAATGTTACAAATGAAGGATATGGTCTCTAAATAAAATGTTCTTTCTTACAAGTAATAAGGAAAAAAAAACCAAGAACATTTCTAAACATTGTACAGAAAGGATTCAACCTGATGTTTTCCACTGGGCATCATCAGTATTTTCAATCTATTTCACAGAGACTCAAAACTTATCATTTAAAAATATTGATTAGGTAAACAAATATCAAAATATATTGGATTCAAAGAAAAGAAGATAATTAGTTTACAGAGCTAAGAAATAAGTTATATTCCTGTTTTATCCCAGAGGAACCAATTACTTTCAGGCACTGTCAGCACTGTTAAAAAACAGCACCTGTATCCAATGTGATTGCTAATAAGTAAATACCCAAGCAAGAGGTAAGTGAGAATGACACGTGTCCCCAGAGCTGCATTCTGTCACCATGGTACGTTTCTGGTCACTTTGAAAGGTGTTCTGCAGCTTTCATGGAGCTGACATCAATGCTTTTCTACAATTCATCCAGCAAAATCCAGACAGAGAAAAGAGCTAACTGTGTTTCACTTGCTGAAATAGATGTAGTTAATTAACAATGGAGATACAAACTGAAGATCAAATAATAATAAAGATAAGCCCTTCTCCATGCTGAGGGAAGACAGCTGCTAAGACAATGGACCAGTTCAAAAGCTACTTATTATTTACTTTTATTTCTATACATGAAACATCAGATTTGTAATATGCAAACAAATACTGCCAGCAGAGCATATCTCCAGAGAGACAATTCTCCTACCACAAAGGCATGCCCAGCATAACCCCAATATAAGCAGGTGCTTTGTCTCAAAAGTATCACATTTTGGTTTATACCTGTCAAAACACCAGACAAAACCCAAGTGGTGCCCTGGCACTCCAAGGAGGACACCCAGCTTTTCATCATAATTTTAAAATTAAGGACAGGACCACGACCTCTCCCAGAAGAGCTGTCTTTACAGCTGAGACATTTAAACAAGGAACCCAAGCACTCTGCTGACCAATATTTCAGAGATACAAACGACCATAACATTCTAAACCACCAATATCCTGAGGATGAAATGGCTTATTTCTGAACACAAACATTTTCCCAGTGTATTTACTTGTTAAAAAGTAGAAAAATCAAAGGCAGTAAGACTTGAACAGAGCTGTTTGTCCATTAATCACCTCATTCACATTATTGCCATGGACCTACCAGTGAAGCTACAAGACTGATTTCTATGAACCGGAGCTACAAAAAGCACACTGTGTGCACTTACAGTCCATTTCAGGCAGATTTATGTTGATATACAACTTTTCTAGTTTCCTCTAAGACTGGTCAGCATTGTCTTTAACTACTAGTAAGAACTAAAACTGGAGTAAGCAAAACATGTAATAAACTAAGCTTAATTTCTGTTTATCACAGTGGTTTGCTGTGTCCAGAGCAACCACAGAACACTGTTTCCCACAGTGTGGCACAGATTTCTGAGCAGTGATGCTTTGCATGGTGCTTTCAGAGGCTGTGGAGACGTTCAAGAACAAGGAAAGCACTGAGCTCTGCAGTTGTTACTGTGCTGTTCCTTTTCTGTTGGTACGAACTCACAGCTGTGACATACTGATAACGTGTTAAGGTGAAACTCATCCACATGCCTGTGTGCTGCATCTCTTAAGACATACTATAAAAATGTACTAAGCACTAGAAATAACACCAGATCAAAACCTTCTTATGGTAAATTCAGCCTCCAGAGAGGAGAAAAAAACCCCAATGTGTATCAATAGGGCTGCACTACAAGCTGGTTAGAAAGATAAGCAATACCATATCAAAAAAGAAACTGTATGTTGTGAGGTAATTCAGTATGAATGAGCCTTCATTCAGAAATGGAGTACACCCTTCACATGAACCCATCCTTCACATGAACCCACCCTTTGTGTGACCTGCAAGTCACTCCTCAGAGAAACTTCACTCTTCATAAAAAACAGAAAAGAAACAACAGATCAGCAGAGTAGTACAGCCATTTGGTGCACTTTTCCCTATCCTGATGAAGCATTATCCTAATGCAATGCCTCGTTTGCTGCAGTTTCTGTTTCCCTCCAAACATAACTTTCATGCTGTAATCACACCGTACCTCAGACTCCTCTAGACAGTACCAGCAGGACAAATCAAGCCAGGGAAAACAGCTCCAGGATTGTGGAAACAAGATTTCTCTTCAGGTATGAAACCTGAAATTACCTGCACAGCAGTAGCACTCAGAAGGGCACTCTGCAATAAAATTCTGTAAGTGTGCACACCCAGGAATGGACCAAGGGCCATCCTGAGATTGTCTGAGAGGAGACTTACTTATACAACCTCAGAAGCAGCCACTAAGAAATTACTGAGTTCTGTCAATACTGGCAGTTGAAATGACTGCGAGGACAGAGATGCTGCTTTAGACTTGTGGCTATTTCCTGCCTACTGAAAGAGAAGGTGCAACCCTTCCAGCAAAGAAATTCAAGGCTGTGCCTGGCCAGTCATAAAAACCCCTTTAAGAGCATATTCTACCTTTGTGTTGCTACTGCAGACGTGCCTATCTCAAGGTCTGTGTGCTTAAAATCTAAAAACTACTGCAAAGTCACTGAGCTACTTTCCAATTCTTTGCCATCAGTCAAAGGGATCTGGAAAATGAAGCAGATCTCACAACTGAAAAGATAGTGAAAAAATAAATAAAAAGGAGAGTTCACACAGAGTTTATTGAGGGAATGAGGAAATCCAGCAAGACTTTTTTAGCTGCTTGGAAGAACATCAGAAAGCTTAAGACTGCTTCCTCACTCCCACAGTGTGCTTCTCAAAAGTCCAATCAACTCAGGGAAGAAGAAAACAGAAAAGTGCAAATTACAGGAATAGGCCTGTAGTTGTTTTATTCTTACCTTTATTTTCCTCTGCAGAAAGTTTTTCTTCAGACTCATCTGAAGAATTCTGTGAACATTTTTCAGGAGAAAGAGCTGATTTGGATACACTGCTCTGCTCAGGTTCAAGTTTGGACCTACAAGCACAAGAGCCTGCAATTTGAGTGCAACTGCATCTCTAAACTAAGAAAAAACACAGATTACTTAAATTCATCACACTTCAACCTGCTTTTGCAGACTTCATAATGAAGATTTCCCAGTCTAGATACAAAATGAACTTGCAACCTGTTATTGCAACATGTTAATACTGTTACAAAAGCAAAGAATGCACGTAATCTTGAACAATACACATCGCATATTCAGAGCTGAGAAGAATTTTGAAGGCCCCAGCATGAAAACCAGGCATTTTCTTAAACTTCCTTTCAAAAAAAAATCTATCATATCACACTGAATTTTTTTTACTAAAAAACAGCCATCTCACCCAGTTAATTTTTTCAAGTATCATTTAACAGTTTACTTTATATTTTAAGTTATCTTTCCTGAAACAAGTTTATTTTATTTAACTGGCTGTAAGGAATAGTTTAACCAGGATGAGAGCAATCCTTACCTTGTCTGCCAAGAGACACAACAGACCATTTAGAAGCAAAGAAAAGCAAAACTGTATGTAATGATCAGATACACATTCCACCGAAGTGCCTGCTATGAAATTTCAATACAAGACCAACAGAAAATGAGAAGCACATTCAGTACTCATGTCAGTACTTCTGCACTCGTCAAGGATTTTTCACCATGGCACCATGAAGTCTAAAATGAGTGGCTAAATACTGTTTTTTCTGGTAAACCTTCATGGTCTACTGTTGTCTACAATGAATTCTGTAACTACGTAGTGGATGGCTGAACGCTTAGCAATTATGCTGATGGAGAAGCTAAAGAACAACAACAGAAAAGCACCAAGAAATAACCTGCTGCATCACCTGCTGTGCCACCTTCATCACTTCCTCCCCTCTCAAATGTAATCAACAGTTAATCTCATTATGATCTACAATCTTCTCCTGCTGCTCAACAGAAGGTGTTGCATTTTGTGGCTTTCCTCCTTTGTACTGCATCTAAATTCTAACTCAGAAAATTCTGACAAAAACAGTATCATGCATTAGTCATCACTGGCTGACTACTTTATTTAAACAAGGAGAAAATAACAGGATGCATTCATAAAACTCTGCAAGTCTGATTTCTGGTCATTTCACAGCAAGAATTTCTCATCTCTCCTCACTCAGGTTTGCTGAATAACGAGGAAGAAACCAAAAAACTTCTCTGGGTGTCCATACCATTCAAATTATAATTCTGATACTATAAAAACATTAATTCAAAATATAATCAAATCAAGCTGATTTTAGTAACTTCAGACATAATTCACAAGAAATTATATTGAAAAAATATTTGAAATGAAATATAAATTTGTACCAATAAACGTACAAACTGAAAATCCAAACCAACTACATTTCTAGTAAAAGCTGACTGTTTCTATTTCCCAGCATTTCACTTTGGGGAACCATCCCTAGTAATTGGCAAAATTTATTAAACAAAAAATATAAGGCCATTGAAAAGGGCAACTTATGTAAGAAAACAGTAACACTCCAGCCACTTGCTGAAGAGCTTAGGATGTTCAGCTATGTAAAAGTAAACAAAATAAAGTGTATTTTTACTGCAAACATCTCAGAACTGTCTAATAAGCATATATAAGATCTGCACTAGGATTAATTTACTTCTAAATAAATGTATTCCTTCATTATTTGTTGTCCTTATTTTCCATACTATAATAATCTATGAAGTTTTCAATTAAAAATGAACAAAACATCTGGAAAGCACTACTTGAAATAGTTGAAGTGATGGGAGATATTATCACATAAAATGTCTGCTGAACTCATAGGGGAAATTACAAATCAACTGACAAATCACATGAAAAAAGGAGTTTTCTTCAAGTCATCACAGAGATTGATTTATTCCCTGTGATTTATTTAAATTAATTTTTAATTTAAATGATAATTAGGCCATTATATTACATCTGCAATGCATACAGACCCCACCTGGCCAACATCTCGTTTTCAATTCTTATGTCCTTACCGAAGAGTGAAAGGAAGTACTGTCCAGCATTACAGAAAAGGGCTGCATCTTCTGGGCTATTTCTTAGTGCCTTATTACTCTATTAATTAAATGGTCTCCTAACTTCTGGCATAGCTCTTTTTCACTGTACAAATCAGATTGACTTGTTTTGCCTGGTTAGTCACCTGAGAAATCCTGGACCTTGGATTTAACATGGAAACAATAATAAAAATAGAACAAAGCAGTTGATATTTATTAGCCAATTTTATATAGAAGACAAACCATGCTAACTTTCTCTGAAATTCCTTACAGTGAATAATACCAGTAAGGTTAGGTGTTTTTGCACACGAAGAGTATCACACAGTATGTTTCTGTATGGTTCCTTTTTCCACAAGGTTATAGGCTTTCAGCATTTTTGCAACTCCTATCTTTTCTCTCATTACTATCTACCAAATTTCAGAACTGGTCTGGCATGTTTTGTTTGCTTGTATTTGATTTGTACTTCTATTTCTGTCTCAGGAAGACATACATAAGTGAATCCAATCGTGTTTAATCATGCTGAATCACTCTGAGTAAAATGTACTTATGGACTTCTCAAAGCATCTCTCTAATTTCAACATAGTAGACTAAATATACCAAGTATAAAAAAAACACCAAAACAAACCTCCCTCACAGGTATGGTTTTTCGACATTTGGGGTAGAGAGCCTGCAAGCACATCATCTTTAGCTACTTCTCCCACACATTTCTACCTCCAGGTTAGCGGTCTGAGGCATGAGGACAGAAGAAGATGCAATTTGGTTCAATTCAGAAGTTACAAACAAGAGTCTGAAGTTGAGCAATTTTCTATCTGCCATGAAACCTTGCTATCTGAAGGAGAATTCATTCACAGCATAATACTGTGCTTTAGCAGCAAGACAATGGTCTAAGGAAGGCTAACAAAGTGGAAGAATGGGAGAGAGAAGGAGAGAAATGAATATTTCTTGCACCAAAGCAGATGATATTCTAAATTACATAAGACAATACCAATGTGTAAAATTTCATTCTAAAGTATTTTACATAAAATATTCCTTAATGGGAAATCCACAAATACAACAAAATATTTTTAAATGTCCAGTAGGTTTATTCTCCCACTTTCTACTAACTTGGAGCTTTAATCCTGTATAAATAAGAATAGCACACAACGTTGTGTCAGTATTCTGCCATTTAAAGAATTAACATTACACATGAGATGTACAGGACAGCCCTGGAATGCATCTGTTGATAGTAAGAGTTCCTCATCCAGCTAAAGACTTCCATTTAGGAAAATCTCCTTAGAATCAATTTTGCTGAATGTCATACAAACTGAAAGGCACAGGTTAATCTGTTTTGTCTATGTTTTGACAATGAGAGCTCACTACTCACAGTCTCTTCTTATCTATCACTCGCTTAACCCGGATGGCTCTTTGTTCTGAATACAGCTTACACACTCCTGTTTGAGAGATCAGTAAAAAACTTAGGTTAGGAGAGCATAATTTCTTCCTTGTAAAATACTCTCATTCATTTTTAGCTACTCACTACTGCAGAAGAAACACTACACACTTTTTAAGTAATCTTCAATGAAGTCTAAGACAGCTGTTCTGTGCTCCTTCACCTGAGCAGACTGGACATCCTTGTGTGCTGAAATGCAGAAGATAGATACAACATGATCTTTTAACTGGTTATTGAATTGCACAAAAGTCTGCATTTTCAGTTCATACACAAGAGCTTACTAACATTTTATACATATTACACATAACTATTTTCAACATTGCTACATTTAAGCATAGGTTCTGTAAACAAGTAAATTATTACAAGAAAGTAAAACCTCAAACCAACTTGTGTCACACAATGCTTGTTATTTTTATATATGCTGCTGAGTCATGTTATCTCCATGAAGTTTCTAAACAAGAACAGATGTCATCAAGCTAAGCACTGCAGAACGGGTCTAGAGACTTCACTCACTTAACATGCTGAGCTCCTGACATTTTAAGTTCTCCAGAGTACAGACTATGGGGACGTCTTTGGGATTGTGTCTAGCACTCTTTCAATTTAAATATTTGTTATTTTGACACTATGAAATTTCCACGACTTACTCCATGACTTTCAGTGATTCTGAATAACATTGCAAGATGGCATCCCAAAACTGCAAATCTTTACAATGCTGCTAAAATACATACATACAAAAAGACTACCTGAAAATGGCAAAACAGAACTTCTTTCCTCAACTTTCATGAAACAGTGTTGGAAGAGTATTACTTCATACAAATAATTGACAAACTGTCAACCTGATGTTACGCTACCAGGACCCTGTGCTATGGTATTCCCATTCAGATAAGCAAAATTGTTAATTCTTCTCATAATTAAAATTTTGATACACTTGTAAAACATTGTGTATTATATACATTTACAGAAAATTTACAATTAAAATATTATATTAAGAAATATTAATTTGTTTTGTTGGGGTTTTGTTTGTTTGGTTGGTTTTTTACTTGAGTTCAAAATTATAAGAGCTACACTCAACAGCTCAAGAAAACATCCATAGTTGTTAAAAATTTTTGAAGAGTGAATGTAATGATATGGATGTTACTCCATTTCACACAGTGACTTAAATATCTCAAACTTGGAAAGAGTATCCCTGTGAAATGTTACAGGTGGGCACCATAGGAAGAGGCTCAGTCCTCTATGCATAGTGCAAAATTACCGCTGAACAGTAAATATGTAAGACTATCATTTTTATTTAAAAACAAAAACACACCACACTTGTTAATTAGTGTACAAGAACAAATAAAATTCCATGCTCTGGCTTATCCTTTCATTTACTTGAAAGAATCTGTCATGGTTCTACTCAGTCAATGGGATTATAAAGATGAAACAAAAGAGGAATGAGACTTTACCAGTCTCCTTACAAAAGCATTCCAGAACTCAATGCCACGCAACATTCATTCTCGTATTAGCCTTAGCTAATAACTAAGAAAGTTATCAGTTATTTAGAAGTTGCTCAGTTTACCTTCTGTTCTCAGCTGATGAATGGCATCTGCACATGTCCTCATAAATATCTGAGCATCTTGATCTATCTGGTCACGCTCGGTATCTGTCATCCTCCCATATTCAGACATAATATGGCTGAGAAACAAGACAAACTGTCACTTATGAAATTCCCAACATAACACCTACAAGTACACATTTGGGATCATCTTCCCACTTGCCATCTCCACAAGAAACCTTTTTGCAACACTAATTTTCACAGAACAAGCAGATATAAATTATTTGTATGAGTAAAAAGTACAATATCCATCAATTCTATAGAGCTGGAAGGTTTTTTAGAACATTCACTTGGAGTGGTAAAAGATGCAGGAAGAACAATACATCCTACCATCTCCTATATTATCCAACACTGAGCAAGTAAGGAGAAAATACAACCAGAAAAGAAATACTTCTCTAACTGTGCATACTTCACTTCTAAATATAAAGAGAACAAGTAGGATAGAGGAATAGCTCAAATACTGAAAAAAGTGTAAGTTTGTAACTTATTTCATTTACGTACGTTCTTATTTCCTAAATGCTGAGCTTCATTTTTAAAGTAAAATAGTTGTATAATGAAATCTGTGAATTCAAATTATAGTACAGAAGAACACCAGAAAATAATGCAGTTTTTTATATCAAGTAGACCAAAAGACTTAACAAAACCTGTCCACATTGTTTATTTCTATTTTAGTTGATGCATTATACATGTAATATTTTCTTGTAGGGTTAATATATTCTTATGCTACTAAATTAGTAGCAAGGGAGGCCAATCTGAAAAGGCCAAATAATACCAGCGAGTTTGAGGTAGAGCTTTCCATTCAAACCTCATATGGCTCTAGAATATTTGGAGGTTTACTTCAATACATTTGAAAGACTTTTTGTTCTTTCCTGTCAGTAAAATATTAATACTCTGCAGATAAACACAAGAAAACCATATTTTATAGAGGTACTTTAATGCCCAGTCAGTTGATAGGATGGGAAGACTGTGCTACAGCATGCTACCCAACATTTATCTTGGGCCTGTTGACCATTCAGTCATCACTGCCTGTTATACGTCTTTAAACAGGCAAGAAAACCTAAATGAATAAATCTACTCTAACTTAGATTTTTATATATGAAAAATTTCCCACTTGTCCAAGATATGAATAACACAACTATATTAATGCAATTAAACAAGTGAAAATAAGGGATTTTCATTTGCCAAATTAAGCCTTATACCCTACAGATGTCTCATGCTTCAATGCAACAATGCCAGGTCTGCTGCAATTCCTGCCACAGAAATGCCTCCGATCAACTCACGCTACCCCACCTCTCTCCACTATCCTCTCCCATTACACTCCGTACCATCAATTTTTTCCTGCACATCAGCATACTAACAGCGCTTCTCCCAAATCTCCTCCACAAATTTTTAGGCTTACTCTAATGACCCTGAGAGTTATATCAAAGGGTCTTCATCCTCATCCTGCACGATTGGTTGCATATGAAAAAAGTAACGCGTAGTCCACCTGACTGGTAGCTAATACACAAATCAGCCAGCAAACAGAAAGGCCATCTAATTAGAAGTAATATTCACTGTTTTCCTCTTGTTTGTTTCCAAAACTGTCACCTATTTGTCAGACAAATCCTGGGAATTTTCCCTTCTGATTAAAATTACTCTGCTCTATAACTTACAGAAAACTTTCAGAAATGTTTTCAACTTGTATTTTAATAGCTGTATTGCTCTTTTCTGGTTGGGTAATGACTGTAAGTCTCAATATACAGTAAATCCATCCCACCACTATCCTCTAACCTTACTGTAGAAAGAACCACTACTTTAAAAAGAACAGGCCAAAGAAGAGGAAAGCAACACCACCACCACGAACCATTAAACAAATAAACAATTAAACCAAGTGCGTTCCATATGTCACAGATGCAAAGACTTGCTTAGAAGTACTACCAGTGACATTATCACAGCAATGAGCTGCTGCATCACTAAATCAGGAGAGATCACATGAGTCCAGATGAACCAGAAGCAACCATAAGAACTAGCCTGAGCACAAGAAAAGCTTTGGCTATTGAATACAGATAAAGAAGAGGAAGAGAGGGCAAAATTCTTCTAGATGTTTATTCTAATCAACTGGAGAAAGCTTCATGAGAAATGTGGACTGGAAAGCAACTTGGGTTATTTGTGATTCTTAAAAAGGGGTATTGGAAAGCAAGGAAAAGACAGTGGCTATCAAGTAGGCAGATGCCAATAGTCTAAAAAATAAAAATACATAAATTAAGAAGATGAATTGCACAGAAAACAAAACTTAAGATGAAACAGAAAAGAGTCCAGGCGCACCAGCAGTCTTCCTATAGAAATGACGTTGGGATACCTTGCAATTCTGCCCTTGATCAAAGGGAAGAACAGGCAATGCAGTAAGAGATCAACTATGCTATTTCAAGAGCTCTTCACTGAGTTCAAACACAATAAAGCAGAATACAAAAAGTGCAAATTAGGACTGATTGCTACTGACAACTCTAAAGGAACATTGCATGGAGGGATGCAATCAGAAAAGGGTCAAATCCAGGATAAGACAACTGGCAAGGGATGCCAATGATAACAAGAAGTTACTCTGCAAACATTAACAAGAGAAAGACCAAAGAAAATGTTGGCTTGCTACTCAGTAGAGAAATAAAACTATATGCATAGAATGAAGAAAACCTAGATGTTCTTGGCTTTTTCTACATTAACTTTCATCACTAAGTTAAAATTTAAGCTGCTGTTACTACTCCATTTAAATCACTACTTCTGTCTGAATCATCTGAGCCCAATTTAGCACCTTTGACCTTCAGAAAAAAAGTAACAATTTTTAATTGATACTTTCATCAATAATAGCAAGCACAAAGTGCTATTTTAATAACAGGATGCTGAGTGAGTGAGCGCCTGAGGAAAAGTACTGGGCAATCCAGGTCAGTGCACAAGTTTATCTCAGGGTGCAGTGCTTCTGAGCTAATGCTGAAGGTAAAACTGATAGAGGATATATTCCTCCTATTCATCTACAAATGGTGCAATAGGAGAGGAAACTGGCTTTAAAAAAATATCCAGGTGAACGCATATCCATATAGTATGCAGAAACAGGAGACAAGGCACTGGAATAAAATAGGAAACGCATCAAATTAAAGGATTTATCCTCACTGCCAGGAGAGTTCTAGGTGGATGTAAGTACAGCATCTGTATTTTAAAAAAGGAATGTTACAAAACACTGCTCTGAAAAACAAAGCAAATAACGTACAATCCCTTGGTCCAAATATATATATTTAAGTACTGTAAAAGTATATGAGTATACTTAGGTATATATATAATATGTGTGTATATATATATATACATACACACACACACTATACTTAAGTATATAAAAGTGTATATATATAAATAATCGAATGTAGGTGCTTTGAAGAAAACAAAAAAAAAATAACCGACAGCCGTGACATGAATAAGTGTAGTCTACTTCTGGGGCGCAGAACCAGGTCTTACAGAGGGATTATACTGCTATGTATCTTTAGACAGGCTTTTGCCACCACCTCTCATGAGATTCTCATAAGCTGCCAGCAAATAAATGCAATAGAAGAAACAGGTACTGTTTAGACATGAAATGGGTTGGAAAGCTGAACTCAGAGTAGTTACAAACCAAACCAGAAGGACATACCGAGTTGTGTTCCACAGCAGTCTACCCTGGATCTGACCCTGTTGAAGGCCTGCATGTATATTCCACTTCACTATCCAAGTTCCCATTTAGTACATTTGCAAGGGCACAGAGTCCAGCAAATTAAAGCTGCATTAAGAGAACAAGACTTTGATACGAAACAATATTGCCAACTTGGAGAAATGGCAGAAAGAATTTGAATGAGGAATGCTCAAAGGCTCTTTGCTGCAGCAGGACTAGTTACCTGAACATTCTGTGAAAATGGGGAACAAGCAATTAGGAAATGGCACTTCAGAAAGACATCTGGGATCATGCTGGATCATGAACTAAACAAAACAACAAGAACTTGCAGAAAAAAGTGATAATTTCTGTGGGATGCATAAATGCAGCACAACCCATTGCAGATAAAAGGTCATTTTTTTTTTTTTTGCAGTCCTTAGCATTAGGCTGGAGCTCAGCTGAAGCACTGTTTCAGTTCCACAACTCACTGCAACACCAGATGGGACAGCATCCAAAGGAGAGGAAAAACTATGACCAAAAAGAGTATATATGAAAGTCTAAACACACTGTAGTCACTGATTCCAGTAAAGACTGAAGAGAAAACAAAACAAGCTAATGGGAAAAATAAAAATAAAAAAATAAAAAAACCTATTAGCATAGATAAGGAAACAGAAAAAGCAGAGGAAAGATACAGAATCTCCACTGAAGGACATACCTAAAAGCAAGCAAGTCAAGGTGTTAAGAACGACCTGCTTGTTCCCTTTTTTGAATAAGTGTCAGCTATGTTCATTCCAATGCATCATTTGTGTGAACTTATTTTGCTGGAAAAGCACAGGGAAAAGTCTATGGAGTCATTACATCAGCTTTTGGAATTAGTAACTCTTTCTGCTGGTGCATGAAATATTTTCTGCTTACTCATTCAATGAAGACACTAAACCAAGCAGAAAAACTTGGTTTTCTTCCAGTAATGCTTTACAAAATAGAGAAGTAAGGTAAAAGCTTCTCAAATGACAGAACATCTCACAACCTGTGCAGAAGCTTCAGGTACTACAGCAGGCAGTACAGGCACATCTGAGTCAGTATTTTCAGTTTTGTAAAATACTGCTGAGAAATTCCAGAATGCTGTTGAGAAGAATGATTATTTCTAAGATGTGATGTATGAAACTAGTAAACTCAAAACAATAAACCATTCGACATTAGAGCTCTAGAGAACAGAAAAATGCTGTGTATTCACCCATGAAGACAATGCTAGACTTTCTTCTAAAGTCCTAACAGGTCACCTACACATTTCACTGCTTCTTATAAAAACATAATTAAGTTATTGTAATAAGACAGGCTGGCATTGTGGGGGAGACCATCAAGAGACTATTTTTAGAATCTTTTAATGGTTACTGATTTTCTTTTATTGGTTACATCAAGGGAATACTCTCCAGAAAACACAGGGCACATGCTCAACGATCTCCTATTAGCTGACAAACATGTAATTGATTTATCGGGCTTTTTTTCCAGCTTTAGTGGATTTAGATAAATGTTTGTGCCGAAGGAACGATCACTGAGCTCCAACAGTATAAACAATAAGTAAAATAATTAACATCTTTTTCCAAAGCACATTAACTGATGTAAACCACATACGAAACGTTCAAACACTGAACTGTACATAAGGTCCACAAAAGGATGTTGTAAAGATCAGAAGCCATCCATCCCACCTTTCTCACGGAAATAAAAATAATAAATAAATTCTACTCAGAACCAACCTGCACAACAAACACTGATAAACTATATACATACCTCTACAGTTGCAAACGTCAGTAAATGAGATGTCAGATTATCACAGAATCATAGAACGGCCCGGGTTGAAAAAGACCACAGTGATCATCTAGTTTCAACCCCCTGCTACATGCACAGTTGCCAACCACCAGACCAGGCTGCCCAGAGCCACATCCAGACTGGTGGTTCTTTCCCTGAAAGAAAGATCTCCTCTCAGAGATTTCCCTTTCAAGTATGAGGCGTTCTACAGTCAAAATCCAGAACTCTCAATTCATCTCCAATGTCCGGTTAAACTAGAACAGTAAGGATAACTGCTGACCTTTGAATTATCTCAGCCTAGAAAGTTCCTCTGGAGAAACTGGATACAGAGGAACATTTCAAATACCCAAGTGTGAATGCAATAATGCGAGTTCCTAGAACAATAGGTAACACAAATGTACAAATCATCAAATGGTTCAATGATCAAAAACATGAGAGCTCATAATGAAAGGCAAGACACAAGTTGTTCACATCAGACAACTTACTTGAGAATGAACAAAGGATCTCACCAAAGAAAGCTCTGTAGGCATGTTATTACACTAATATACAGAGAGGAAGAACATATGGAACACAAGGCAATAATACTCTAAAAAAAGCAAAGGCAAGTAACAATTTTTATCTCAAAAGAATGAACAGTTTGCTTAGCAAGGAAAAAAAATCACCCACATCTCACTAATGTATGCAGGAATTAAGAGTTCCTGCCTCCACCTTGCCACAGAAGAATTATTAAGAAGAGATAATTCTTACCAAAGAAGTATTTGATATTTGGACTTCATAGAATTACAAAAGTTTTTTTCTTTTTTTTTTTTTTTCTTTTAAAAGGAACTGTTCATCACTAACTCTCACTAAAGACAGACATTTGCTGATGTTACATTGCAAGGAAAGTCCTTAAAGACTGCAATTCAGCAGGAATAAAATTCTAACATTCCCTTAAAAAAAAAAAAAACAAATAAACAAAAAGGAACCACCACCATACATTTGGAAAGACGTTTGATGGAAGAGCTTCTATATGTACCTCTCTGTAAATCAGTCTTCTAACTTGTGCTGCCAATGGAAGATGGCACCACTAAAACTTTCCGAAGTTATAATCACAGGAGAGTAATGGCAGATAGGATACAACAGAAAAGATGACAAAATAGAAAAATTCCCTACAACAGAAAGTTGAAAAAACAAAGTGTAAAGGTAAGAGAGTGAATCCTGATGAACAGGAAAGAATAGAGATGCAATGGCTTAAAACGAGTAAGCTTAGATCACTCCACCACTCATTTAAGGTTTGCCTCTCATACATTACAGCTGACAGTCATATCAAGAAGAAAGGAAGTGAACAAGCAACTAGTAATTCTTGAGCTTTCTGGGCTCAACTTAGGCATTTCAGCTGAATACTTAAAGCTTGATAAACTGGCTCTGGACCTTAGCTCCAATTAATCCTTTTTCCAGTTGTCTAATTTCTAGAAATATTGCTCTAAAAATGAATTAAAGATATCCCCTCTGCAGAACACTTTATATATGCCCCCTCAAGAAATATTACTAAAGAATTCATTCTGCAAATGAAGCAGTCAAATTTCATTGCCAGAATTAAGCTTCCTGCATAAATTCCCAGCATAGCTTCTTTGTATTAAAATGTTGTAAAATCTTCCCTGTAATTTAACTATGCTATTAAAACTGCTGTCTTGAATGAGTGAAGCATTTGTTAAGACTGTGAGACTGACAGTATGGATGCTATGGTCCTCCTTGTATCCACAAATAAGGAATTTGACAGCACTATTTAAATCTGACCTTTAAGCACAAGATCAACTGCCAACAGATGAGATTCAGTTTATTACTTTGTTGTTTAAGAAAGGAAATGACACTTTTTTCCTCTCCTTAGCTAATACCTACAGCAGTGAGGGGAAAAATCATTGAGAATTTCATGATAACTGGCTAAAAGAGTTTACAAAAAGAACATTATCAGTTTTTAGAAACCAAAATAGCTTGGACAAAATCTGTACTCCGTGTTCTCACTTCTGTGCACACATTGCTAATAAAACCTAGAAGTTATCCACTGACAGTTTGTTCTTCCTGCAATTATTTGCAGTTTCTTAGCTTATACATTCACATGAAGTTTTCACACAAGAAGTTATTTCAGTATTCAGCTGGTAGCTCCACCTAGTGTTATTCATTACCTATTTCAAAAGGAACTGAAAAGCAGAGAGCCAGACATAATACACACACACACTCTACTTTTGCTTGCTGCTTGGAAAGGCAGTTTCTCGTATGCCTTCCACATAGGACTCATTTTCACTAATACTACAAATAGCTCTCATTGCCTCACATTTCCAAAGTGCTTCAAAATCTTCACTTTTGAGACTTCATTTTTGCAATAGCAAAAAAACTGCTTTCAAAATCTCAGGGAAGGTGCCAGAAGAGTCCCAAGGACACCTTTTGGTACGACTGACCGTACAGCATTGCCATCACTGTTACTGATTCTTTCAAGACTTAAGGAGTTGTTTCTCAGAAAGACTGCTCTTACAACACAGACAGAGCCTAAGGAACAGCAGAGGGTTCACTTGCTCCTACTCCTTTCCCATGCGGGATGAATATCTGTCCAGATAATGCTCCTATTTTGTATCTATGAAGCCTTCTGGATAGGCATTAAATCAATATGGGACTCTGTGCCTTCAACAGATAGATGTCTTTAAACTGTGCTTTCTCAACCTGGATTGCTGCAAGTTTTGTTACAGACAGAACCAGAATGCAGACAGGGCTGACTTAAGCCATGCAATATTGCCACTATTCTGATGGACTGGAGAAATACAACACTGGAAATGGTGAGATTTACAGAAGAATCTTCAAAGGGGAAAGCTTACACTGTTTCATTCAGATATACAAAAATAATGAATCAAAGTAAAACAACATGCATAACTTTATTCTCAAATGGCTGTAAAAAACAATATTTAGCACCCTGAAGCTTTTTTTTTTTCCCCTGTCCAGGAAGGTCACTGCCACAATGATCTACTGTTGTCACTTCAAGAATGAACTGACATTTTCTGACATTTCCTTCAAAATGGCTGCACCCTGCAATCTGGAAACTTCATTTCTTAGAAATTCATTGGCTTTTTTCCAAAGGGTGTTTCCCAGCTCTTTAACGCACCCCAGTTAGGATGCATTAATTAGGCACACATTCTATATTATGCCTATTTTACACCTGGTTGGGATCTGTTGTTTTTGAACCATGAATCTCAAAATGAAAAAATGTAGTCCCAGAACCCTGGAGAACACCTCTTTCCCTGTGCATAACTAGGGTGGACAGATCATTTTGCTTTAAAAGATAAGGAATTGGTTAGATGGCCACAGCCAGATGGCTACAGAGGGTTAAAGTCAATGGCTCCACGTGCAGGTGGACGCCTATCAACTAGTTTTGAGATGGGGGCTCTTCAATATCTTTAACAGTAACCTAACCAATGGGATTGAGTGCACCCTCAGCAAATTTGCTGATGACAAGCTGAAGAGTCCAGTTGATACAACAGAAGAAACGAATGTCATCTAAAGGGACCTGGACAAGCTTGAAAAGTGGGTCCAGGGGAACCTAATGGGGTTCAAGAGGTCAATTCTAAAGTGTTGGACTTGGGTTGGGGCAACTGAAACTATTCTCCTTCTGTCTCAGGAACCACTTCAAAAACTTATTCTACCCTTCAGAAGTGCTAGGCTCAGACTTCCAGTCTGATTTGTTACAGAACATAGCCTAAAAGCCTCTTACTCAAATTCTTAGCTGCATTTCAGTCACGGCCATTTTTTTTCTTCTTAAAGAGCTCACAAGTGAGCCAATTAATAAGCAATCCACATTTTTGTTTCTAGTTATTATGCCTATAGATTTTGGGGTGGTATACTTCATAAATAATAAAATGTATTAAAAGAAGATATCAAAACAATTTAAACACAATACACACTTACCTGTATGCATTAATGTAATCCTTTCTGTGTTGAAGAAGAAAATCTTTCAGCTTCCCAATATTGGAAATCTTTTAAAAACAAAAACAAAGACATACTTAAACCCTGTAGCTACAGATACTAATATCTGCATACATTTAAAGTTCAGTACTTACTTTTCAAACATAAATTAGTAAAATTCACTGTATTTATGTGCGTTTAATCAGCACCATAACATTTATTTTCTTTCATAATAGGATTTTCACATTTTTCAAGCAGTCGGTACATACAAATCATCTAAAGTTCTGCTTGTTGTATGAAAGCAGTATTTTGAAAGAAGTAGTAAAAATGCATGTCTCGTGTACAGAAAGCATAAACTAAACACTAAATACCACTACATGCTAAATAAATACAATACAAAACATTAAAACAGTAAACATAACTCCAAGCACAACTAAACATTAAAAATGGTATCAACTGGCAATTCAAATTCCAACACGCACTGCAGAAAATAAATTAATTTTAGATCATACAAGAAATTTTAAAACACTTTACTGGTAAAGAATGATACAAATACTCAACTTCCTTTAAGCAAACTTATAGCGCAAGGTGCTGCCCCTCTCCTTGGTATTTGTGCAGCGATGCAGTGAGCAGTTCGTGCCTGAGGTACTGCATGTAGCAACTGGGAATTTTTGCCAGGAGATACATCCACAGCAGAATTCTCTTTCCGGATTTCTTTTTCCATTTCTGAATTTTCCCTTCACCACGAATCTATTTTTTTGCTGTAAAACCATTTTATTTTCTTCATAGAAGTCTTTACTGAGATCTTCTGAAAAACCTCCTGAGCTCTGAAATGACTTCTGCTAACTTCAGCTGCATGTAAAAGATTTGGTGTAGCGTAAGATCCTACTTTGTCTTACAGAACAGATGATCACAGAAAATGAATTTTCATCAGCCACAGAAATTAGAAGGCTACCTTAACAGGACTGGAAAGAGACACGATGGTGTGAGGAGACTGCATTACTGGTAGATATTTTCAACAGGACAGGGAGTTGGGGGAATCTTCCTGTAGCATATTCTCAAATATTCATTAATAATTCTGCGTAAAAGCATGCGAGGGTTTTTACAATGCAACTGTTGTTTTAGTTTACAAATACAATAAATGTGGTTTATTCTGTGTATCTGGGAAAAAGCATCAAAAGCTGTTCAAGTCTTAAAATCCTATTTTCATGCAAATGTTCCCTGTAATTACACAAACAAAAAACCACAGCGACAGAAAACAGAATGGTTTGCATAAATAGAAGATTAATATCCCCGATTATTTTTTCACAAGATCTATAGGCCTTTGAAAAAAAGAGGAAAAAACTTGGTAAGGCCACAGCGATCTGTTAAAACAAAAAACATGTTTTCCTGCACAAATACGTGGGCATACATTTCCCTGTTATCACCTGTTTCCTTTTCACTACAATTCATGATAACAGATAGGAAATTTTGCTATTTTTGTGCTTTAAATTTTCCATGAGATGAACAGCACGTGGAATTTCGAGCCATTCGCAGCACACATCAGTAACTCCAGCAGATAGCAAGTTCCCTAACGTGTATTAGTGCTGTCAGAAGCATTACGGAGGGAAATACAGAAAACACAACTCAGGATCAATTGGTCACAAACAGTCAATTTAAATCGTTCTACAGATGTTTCTTCTGGAACTTACTCTCGTATTTTAATCTCTTCCTCAGCATGAGCATGTAATGAATTTTGCTTCATACAACTTTGCTTGATAGGTAAACTAAGCTTGACTATAAAAGCAGAATCGTCAAAATAGCCATACAGTGTTTGAGTAGAACAATAATACTTAATAAGCAGAAAATACTACAGAGAACAAAGAGTAGAACTGTAAAATGAGACACATTTGAAAACATCTACATTAATACGTGAACAAAGACTAAACTAGAAAAGGGATTAGCAAAATTTTGTAACTAATAAATCTTAATATTATTGCAATAGCTACAATTTAGGAGTGATTAACAAGCAGAAAGAATCAGAATGACAAGCAAGAACACTGTCTTACAGTAATTAATTCATCCAGTCACAAAGAGCATTCTATTTAGGCTAAAATTGTCATCGTGTGTTTGAATTGCACTGACCCCACTTTGCCTCTCCTTCATTTGTAAAGCTATTTTCATGAATGTAGAATGACACTATTATGCCCATACTCACATCAAGCTCTTAGTTCCCAAGATTTGCATCAGAAGTGAGACGTCTTGTTCTACTTTCCCTCAAATTCTAACAGCATCCCCTGTGATCTTGCACTAAGGCAATTTCTCTTTAACCTTTTCTTACCTTGTAATATTGGCACCATCTTGGATTCAATTTGTCATAATCACATACAATTAAGCATTTTTTAAATGAAAAAAAAAAAAAAAGGTCTTACTAGCATAAATAAAAAGTAGACTTTATCCCAGAATACTCCCAATTCTGTTTATTTATTTTAAGATTCTTCATCTTCTACAGACACAAAACTTCCATTATTCTACAAATATAAATCTTGAAGACATCTCCAGGGTCATCAACTAGCATTTGGTTTGGGGTTATCAGAAGCACACCATACACTCTTCACAGAGTTATTACACTTCATTCTAAAAGTAACAAAGCATCTTCCTAATCCATCTGACCACCCTTGTTAGAATCTTACTGATCTTACTAGGAATAAAAACTATCAAATTTTCAGGTTTCCTAATTAACACCTTCCACCCATCTGCTCTTGATTCAAACCGGTCCTTACCCCTAAAAGCTCTTCTTCTCTGCATGTGTGCTTCTCAGTTAACTGCAAATAGTCATATCTGCCCACAACCCCCGAACAAAAGACCCCAAGCCTTTAGTTTCTTCTCATGGGGCAGTTCTAACATTGCTTAATTTGTGACTTTTCTTGCTGTTGGTTCCAGTTTGCATCCATCCTCTTCCAAAACAAATGACCAGAAGGGCATACACTGGTGTTTGTACTTTGCAATTCAGCTGGAGATATCTTTCTATCCACCATTTTCATTTAATTGCTTTATTTGCTTTATTTTTTGGTTTGATCTCAAACTCCATATTCTATTGTTGGATTTCCTTCTTTTCTTCACAACTTCAAACCTTGGAATCATTCACCACTTTCTGTAACAGAGCACACTCCTCCTCTCCTTCCTCACATCACGACATTTTCACAGCTTCTTCATTCCCAAAAATAAGAACATTATTAAATTTTATTATTTTTAGAATTCAGCCCCAGAATAATTCAACTATTAGCTTCCCCTCAGCGCAGTACTTCTTCCAATACAGCAGTATTGCTTCTGCTACAGCCACATCTTACTCATGTCATATTTTCTTTGCGAGTCTTCTGTAGACTTCCCCTTAGCACCTTATCAGACCCTTTAACATCTGACACCAGATCTTCGTTACAAAGGAAACACAATTTTCTTAAAGCATCAGGTTCATAGAATCATAGAATTACCAAGTGTAGAGAAGATCTACAAGATCATCCAGTCCAACAGTTCTCAATAGGCAAAATATTCTATTTTAGTATGACAGCAAGTTGCACTCCATTGTGCCTTACTTCCCATTTATCTTCATCCACTTAAAGTCTTCTCTGAAGCCTGGAACACTTCTGCATCAGAATAAGAGCCCTACTGATGCCATAATCAGTTTCCCTCTGCTGACTTAATTAGAGGCATTACATTTGCTACTCTCTAATCAAATGAGATCATCACCAACTCAAAGTATTTTCATTTAAAAAAAGCTGCCATCAGACTCGTGATTTCTCAAATGCACTGTGTTTGAACTCAACCCATAGATTATCTGATAGCTATGGTTTGACTTCATTAAAATTTCCAATTCCACGCCCCAGTTCCCAATACCTACCTTGTCAGTTTCTTTGTCCTGCTCGTCTCAGTTTGGACACCACACCTAAACTATTCTTAATTTGTTCTAGAGATGCATGAAAAATCCACCTTTTGTCTAGTTCTCCTTTTATTTATAAGTTGAAACATTCTTTAGCCATATAGATTTTTTAATAGCCCTGGTCAAGTCACTGTGAATTTACCAATTGTCTACTTCATCCTCACAAAGTCTTTTCCTTTGACAACAGTTTTCTTGGCCAGCCAGTCTCTCTCTCTCCCCAAGGTTCCCTGCTCCTTATTGCCCCTGAGCTAGTTGCTTTTTTTTTTTTTTTTCCTTCTATCTTCTCTAACTAACCCTTCAAATAGATATGGAACGACTTTAAATCCCCCTTGCATTTTAGTGTGCCATTTTCTTTTTCCACTCTATTTACCCATTCATTATAATCACAACTTCTTGCTGTATTTGCCTGTTTTGAAAACAAGTGTACCACTAGTCTACACAGCCTTCAGAAGGAAGATGAAAGCAGTCTGAAGACAAAGCACAAACATAACAGCACGGACCTCCGCCACAGTTCTTGGAAATTAACTTTCTTCCCTTCTGAAAGTTTGGACTAGAGAAACAAACCTCTCCTCATAAGATAACCTATCCTCATCAGATATCTTATGAGGAAGAATATTACTGAATTGCTAGATTTAACTGACGCTTTTTTTCTGGGAATCATAGGAATTCCTCCCAATATCACCAACATCAGTTACATTAATGCATTAACTGCATGTTCCCCACCTGCTGCTCACCACCAGAACATTGAGGGTTGTCTTATTTTTGACAAAACTGACCTCCTACCTGCCTACTGCACTCCAGCTCTTCCTTGAGAGTCAGCACCACACAGTGGAACACTGGAATGATTTTTCTTAAATTAATCTTTTGGGAATGAGCCTAATCATGTTTAAGATTAACTAAAATAAGTCTGTTGCATTCATTTGGGCCCTCAAATACCTTTCTCATCGCAAGGGAGAGCAGAAGCTGGGGAGTACCAGTAGGGAATTTCCTAGAAGACATCTGCCAAGAAAGGAAGCACATTCAGTTACAGCTTAAGAAATTTACAACAGTAACCCCATAAGACGGCGTACTGAAATCAGAGACTCCAGGTGTTCCTTAAATCCCTCCCAAGCACAGCTTTGGCAGTGGAAACCCCAATGACTCTCACAGTGAAGC